TGAAATTTTCTCTTGACCAAAAAAGATGGCATGAATTATATCTCTTTAATGACATTTTGAGATTTGAAACATTCAAAATATCTAAAAATTGAGAAAGTTATGACTTGTTGAATTTGGAAAAAATTCATGAAATGACCTATAATCTTTTGTATCCTTAGGGCATCTTCCATCCATTTTCACACTTTGAACTTAAAAGATAGGTTGAAGATCACATCTTTAAGATCATTGTGGAAAATGAATGGGCTCAAAGTGATAAAAATTGACCAAGTTATGATCTTTTGAAGTCACATAAGAGAATTTGATGGCTTATCTAGAGGACTTGTAATCTTTCTTCGTGATTAGGTATCCTCCATACAAAATTTTATTGAAACCTTTAAAGTGATTTATTGATAATACTTTGAAGAGAAGCATGTTTTTGGAATAATTCAAAAATACCAAAAGATGAGCAAGATATAGCCTTTAAGTTCAAAACACGAGCTCCTAAAGCAACAAAATTCCTTGGAAAACCTTTTCAATTTTGACAAACCTTCTTGCACAAATACTTTTGTCATGTAAATAGAAGTTGTTAAGGATGATAATTAGAAACCATGGCAACTATAACCACTTCCAAATATTTAGAATTAAGGGAGATATGCACTTGTTATCAAGAAATCAAAGACTTGTCCAATTAGGCCAAACTTCTCCAATCAACCCTTGCATCTTTGGACTATCTTCGAAAACTTGAGGCATGATGGATCATAATAGACTTTGTTATTATATTACTTTAAAACATATTCAATGGTGAAGCTTGAATTTCAATGAAGCTTTGTTGAAGAAGGCATGGAAATATGTTGTGCTTTCACCTATAATATCATCAATTAGGGCAAACATTCATTGTATTTATTAGATAAAAATTAATCAATACAAAACATAGATGATCACAAAATACAAGTCAAGGTGCTTGGTGACTCCCCATGATCAAAGCTAAAGATAAGGAGAAGAACCAAACCCTAGTGTGATCTTGTTGTGATTGACTTGATATGATATGATAGAGGAATCTTAGGGGGGGAAATTGGGGTACAACAACGGGAATCCATCAAAAGCGTACGAGTCTGCATAATACATTCACTAGGACACAATAGAATCGAATTATATCTATCATCTCATCCATCTGACGAATTCCCGCCATATAGATCCGATAGATAAAGAGCTCAATCCCACTTGGCATTTACCCTTAAGCCCAATATCACTTAGTGTTTACCAAACAAGCTCAGTTAATCATTGGCATTTCAAAATTCCAACATCCATTGATACGTGTCCAAATTACTCATTACATACATTGGTCAAATCATACATACTACGCATTAACACTTGCATCTACATGCATAAATGCCACATCAAGTACAAAGATAATTTAATATCAACAAACAAAAGGTATTAGGGAGTCAGGAAGTTCAGAGACCCAATGGTCTAAAAGAAGACGACATTTCAGAATAACATTTTGCGCATATACGAAATCATAAGCACTATCATTTATCAATTGGCATAAGCATTATCAACAAGCATGTCCAAGCATATTCATTGGTTAACCAAGCATTTTCATACTACCAAAGTCTTGGTTGAAAACAAACACAACTGACTCCATCATCAAACTCCAATTTCAAACCTATGTCATTTATCCCCTAGGTAGAAATAAATGTACAAATTCTACGATATAGCCTGCTTGTTAGTCTCCAAGCTTTAACAAGTCAATTTTCTAAAACATTCTCCAACATGTTGTCATTAGCAAAAGACGTGAGCAGCCTCACGCACTTCAATCAATGAAAATACGTGAGCAGCCTCACGTATTTCTATTAACATAACTGTGAGCATCCTTACAAAGTGTGAGTACCCTCACACACACCAAGTCGTCGTCTAGATACACGAGACATATGGATCTTTGATAGCCATAAGATCTGGTGACCATTTACTGGTCACCATGCGCCCACTTCCTCCGTCAGTCCTAGTCAATGTTTCATCTTAGTCATTCCTTTGTCATACTTTCAATTAAACGCCCCAATATTAACTCCTAAGGGCCCTTTGATTAGAATCAAGCGTCCCTGATCATTCTACCATACCGTTAACCCACGTTCTTTCCCAGTTCCCATTGGATAGTCAGATCTCGTCTGACATTTAAATAAAATCCATTTGTCTTATGGTAGCCTATCTTGACATCTGCAGTTCAAATAAAATGGGCATTGGCATTTATCAATCATTTCATCATAACATTATCATATCGAGCATACATAGCATGCATCATGCATAAATCAAGCATAATCATATCAAACATGCATACATGCATTGCATTCAATCATACATGCCCATGAAAACTACGGAAAATCTCAAGGCATGCTTACCAGCTAAGACGTACTTAATTTCAAATCCAAGCTCAACACTAACCATTCTTTGTATTATCACTATAGCCACCTCAGTTGAAAATAGGCACAATCATCAGAGGTACCACTAACAAATTTCACTAGGTAGCTTACCTACGACCCATATCCAAATCCTAGTCATCACCATCCTCCGAGCATTATACTTTCAATTATCAAATTCTAACTTTTCAAAAATTCAAAAAAATTCAACTTCATTTGGTTATCAAGCCTTGGTTGAGAACATACATGACTAGCATCGTTAGTGAAACTTCGGTTTCAATCTTCAAACCGGGCATTCTTCATGCTAATCAATACATTAGTTGAGAACAAACACAACTGGTAAACTCTAGTCTTATCTTTGGTTTAGTTATCTAAGATTCGATTACCAAAACACTCTTCAATTATCTATCCTCTAGGTTGTGGTAGGTATGCGGATTTTCAAGATTACGTTATTTATCCTCTAGGTCGTGATAAACACGTAAGACTATCCTTGTGTCGTTTATCCTTTAGGTCGTGATAAATGCACAAACTTTTCAATCATTTATCCCCTAGGTTGTGGTAGGTGTGTGACTTATCAAGTTTATATTATTCATTCTCTAGGTCATAATGAATACATGAATCTAACTTCGTTTCGTTTACCCTCTAGGTCGTGATAAACACACACAAAATTTCAAATTATCTATCTCCTAGGTTGTGATAGGTATACGAATTTTCAGGGTTATACTATTCATCCTCTAGGCCGTGATGAATACATAAGTCTATCCATGTGTCATTTATCCTCTAGGTCATGATAAATGCACATGTTCATTCTCGTATTGTTTACTCTCTAGGGTGTAGTAAATGTAACAAAATATATGGTATGATTTATTGTGTCAGCCTCCATGCAATAATATGTTATCAAGCTCTGTTTTTATTCATCCCCTAGGTTGTGATGAATAGACAAAATCTACATTATAAACTTACTATATTAGTCTCAAAGCGTATGTAAGTCAACTTTCAAACTTGTATTATTCACCTCCTAGGTTATGGTAAATATTCGAAAAAATCTATGTCTATTTTAGATATTGACGAGTTATCCACATCGTCATATCTAAGCCAAATCAAAGCTCTTCTTTCAAACTTTGGTAAGATGATACATAATCATATGTGCCTATTTACTCTACGCTCATAGGAAGCGTTGTACAGTGTATCCTTATAATCTTGTGGTCAAATTTTGGGGTCTTCCATTATTTAATAACTCTTTGATCTGAACATGCAAGAATTGCACCCTCCCGCACGCTTCAATCGAAGAGTAATTAAATAAGGGCAACTGTCATACTCCAAATTTTTCCGCCTTGGTGCTACAGTCAAAATTATTTTTAAACTTAGAGTTTTATAAAACTCTTTTGGGTTACCCTGACATTTTAGATTTTAAAAATATTCGTTTTCAAGTCTATTTAAAAATATAATAATTTATTTTAGATTATTTGTATTTTTAATTGCTCGTCTTCATATACTTTCAATTGGCTTTTTATTTCAAGTAAATAACATAGCACAATTGGTAAGGAAGCATAGGGTTCAAATCTTAATTGGTGCACTTTGGATTTTTTTTTATTTGTTACCAACTATTTCTATTTTTTAATTATTTCTAAAATAAATAAAAAATCATTTTTTAATATTTAAATATTAATTTTCATATTTTTTATTATGGTATTTTTTAAAATAATTATTTATTTGATTTTATGCATTTTTTACTAAAATTGAGTGCAAAAATTATAATAAATACCAAAAATATTTCTTTTTCTAATTAGTTGTTTCTTATTGGTTAATTGATGTCAATTTGTGTCATAACCAGTTTCCGATTGGTCAGCTTACTGACCAAGGATCTGATTTTCCAATCAATTTTATTTTCCTAATTTATTGACCTAATTATCACTATAAATAGGTCATTCTTTCACACTATTTTGTAGGCAGAAATCCACAAATCTCTCTTACTTTTGATTTATTCCATGATTTCTTAATAGAAACTCTAAGAAACAAATCCAAAAACAACACCATCAATCAACAATCACACACAATTCCGATGATTATTATTAAAATTATATATTTTTTCTCAACAATTTTCAAACCTATTTTTTATTACACTCTTTGCACCTTAATTTTGTTTGTGTTTTTGTGTTACCTTTCAACAATTTTTGGTACAAACACTCTTCTCCATATTAAAACCTCTACCATATTTTTATACAAAAAAAGAACCTCACTTTTTAGTCTATGTTTGGACATAGAACCTCAATTAGTTTATAATATTATTTTTATAAAAAAACTTATGTTTTAGTCAAAACAATACCTCGAGCGTTTTTTTTTTATATAGTATACATCAACCCAATACAAGTCGCTAAACATCACCTTCAATTCACCACTGACATAACCAAATCCAAACAATAAAAAAACAACACAATAATTGGATTCATAATTGATTGCAAAATTCCAAGGAAACGAAGAAGAAAAAATGCAGCTTTGTTTTTCCGCCGTTCACCAAACTGGCTGCCCTCTCACAAAACTGGTTGTTCGCCATTGATCTTGCCGTCGAGCAGGTGCAGCTCTGCCGGCGCACACATCTCCGTACTGATGATAACTTTGTTGGAATCACCCATCATCGGACCACAACTACGCCGAAACCGCGGCCCTTTCTTCCATGTTTCCGGAAAAAGTAGAAGAATCAAAAGCAGATCGAAATCCACAACGAGCAGCCCCTATTCACGGTCATACGAAACCGACGCCGTCAGTCACGTCCGCACCACTTTGCAACGTCTCGACCTCCGCAAACCACGACCTCTGCTATCCACCGCGAAGCCTTCGTCGTCAGCCAACCCGGATCGCTTCTGTCGATTACAGACTCACCACCACATCACCGTCGTCCCTGCCATACTCTGTCTACCAAACATGGTCGAGGTAAATACTATTGTTGTTATACAATGTTTCTTGTAGGTGGTCATGTTTTGGTGAAAAAATGGAATCGAAGAAGATGAAAGGAGGAAGATAGTCAAATATAGAAGTATTGGAAGTTTTGTTTGTTTTTGGGTTATATGTGAATCTCACGAAAGAAGAAGTGTGATTCTAAAGCTCTTGTTGTATATTGGTGCTTTTACCCTTTTATATTCTTTCTTTTTATAATTTCCACGTGTCACAAAGTTATTGGCTATCATTTAATTTTGAATTGGTCAGAAAGTCATGTTACAAAGGTGCCTCCCAACTGGTACGTTTTGATACATTATATATATATATATATATATATGTATATATATATATATATATATATATATATATATATATATATATATATATATATATATATATATATATATATATATATATATATATATATATATATATATATATATGTATATATATATTAGTTTTTTTTTGTTGATTGAGAATTGGGCCTCACAAAAATGGACACTAACCACTTCTAGTATCACCTTCATGTTTCTATTCTTACCCCTCTCGATTTTTAATTAGTCTTACTTAGATAAAAATAGTAACATGTACGTCCCTTGCTTTTAGGTCTTTTCGTAAGTTTTTATAAATAAAAGAATTTAACATCCTCGAATAATTAATAGGTCGGCTTAACACTTACTAATTAATTATTCATATAAAAATACAAAAAATATGTTTTTAGTTTTTTTATATAATAAATCAATTGCTTTTTAAATTAAATTAATCCAATAAATTTGCAAAGATATTAAAACCCACGCAACTCACTAGGTGATTCATCTGCAAGCAACATGTGACTAATATCTGGACACGTGATAAAGGAGACTTTATCAGGCTCCCTCTGCATACTTCTTGATGAGTAACACTTGGCCAATATTTGGCCACGTGAGGAGAAAGACTATATCAGACTTTCCCTGCTCTACATCTTAATATAACTAACCAATCAAAAATCATTTTTCACTAATCAGACTAAGTACAAGGGAAATTCAAACATCTTTGTAATCCATAAAAAACACCAACCAACTGCGAACTACGAATCGGGACTCTGATTTCTCATAAGAGGATACGTAGGCATACGACTAAAATCGTGGAGAGTTCCCCTAATAAAAATTAAAACCATATTTCCTAAAAATTGTAATTCTAAATCCTAGTATCATTGTGAACAAGGTACATGAGGGGTGCCTAACACCTTCCCTTTGTCTAAAAATGATTCAAACAACTTAGAATCTCTGACCAAATTAGGATTATCCTTTATATCCTCTTCCTAAAGATAAAAATTAAGGGTGACGACTCATATTTTTGCTAGTTATTACACAATCAACCTAAAAAACTAATTTGTAAGAGAAAATTACATAAAAATATTTCCTAACTCAATTGACTCATAAGGCTATAAATAAGAACCCTAAGCTAATTGAAAGAGGACGGCAGGAAACCCTTAGAATCTTGTTGCAATTATCCCTAACCCTCACTCAAGCTCTACATCTGAAAGGATTAGGGTTTCATGACTGAAACCCTAAAAACCTTTGAGCTAAGCCTCCAATTCTTGTACCTGCAAAGAAGAAGAGGAAGGGATTATGAGTAGGATCAGAGAAAATAGAAGAGGAATTACTATAAGTGTCACTCAGGAGAGGTAAGCCGATAATCACTTAGCTTAGGGCTCAAAATATTGTTATTGAATTGTTGGGATTTTTTGTGTTTTTTTTCTTTTTGGAAAAATTAGGTTTTGGAGTAATAAATTGTTAGGGTTATGGTTTAATCGCTTAGGGTTATTGGGGGGTTAGGGTTGAGATTCATGGGATTCTGTATATTCTGGGTTTTCTGGGTTTTGTTGGTTGAAGAATTGAATTTTCTGGTTGATCTTCAACCAGAAATCGCCAGTCCATGGTGGTTGGTGTGGTGGTGTATGGTGGTGGTTTAGAGAGAGGAGAGAGCTCTTAGAGAGCAAACGAGGAGTAGAGAGAGATAGGTTTGGAAAAATGAAGTAAAGAATGGAAGAAAATAAAAAATATACTCTCCCTCTATTTCTTTGGATTGGCGACATGTGACCATTCTCTGGCCATGTGATGGAATTGTTTCACATGATTCCACACACTCCAGTACACCATGTTACATAGTCAACTTTTGATCTCATCCATTCAATCTGTTTACTTTTGATCAGCGCTCCAGGGTTAACCCATGGTGGCCTTCTGATCAAGATCAACACCTCAGATCACGCTAACGCACCGTAATGTTGTAGACGCACTCACACAAGACCTAAACGAACCCCTATATAAAACGTTGGGCCAAGCCCAATGCTTCTTGCACCACCCTTTTTATCTACTCCAAGTCCATCTTGCACCCCCTACGTTATTGGGTCAAATTCAATTTCTGGGCTTGAGACCTTCATATTGGCACTTCGTGGTTTAATTAACACACCCTCTCTATTATAATTAATTAAATTATTTATTTTATTTAGTCAATTTATTTTCTTATTTATTTGTTTATTTTATTTAAATTATCAAATTTTAACATATTGCATTAAAATATTTTCGTGCACTTTTTCATAAATTTATTAATAAATAAATATTGGATTACTATTAAAAATATTTAATATATTTTTAACAATAAGAAAATAATTATCTATTAAATATTTTCTAAAATACTAACCACTTTATTTTATTTTTATTTATCGAAATATTTTCATCATTCAAATTCTTTCTTTTACAAATTGCATCATAAATCATAATATAGCTAACCCATCAAATACTGACATTTTTCTTACAAACTTAATTCAAATTCAACTTATTTTCAAAAAAGGGATTGTGGATATATTTTCTCCGACAGGACTTGGCCTTCACTCATGTTGAACGAATACAGAGCTTGCTTCAGGTATAGGCGATTGACCAACGATTTGGTCATGTATAAACTTTCGAGTTTCTCCCATAGATCTGATGTTGTCGTCTCCTTTAAAACCTGTCAAAGAACCTGATCACCAAGGCTCAATAAAATGGCGCAATGGGCTTTCTATACCATAGCTATTTTTCTTTATCCTTTAACACAACATCTATGGTTGCGGCTCCCTTCAACGCTTCTAAGCAACCCTGCTGAACCAGCAAGGCTTTCATCTTCAAGCGCCACAGACCAAAATTGTTCACTCCGGTGAACTTTTCAATCTCATACTTTGTTGATGGCATTTTATCTATGCTCACCGCACCAATTTGTTTTGAAAATGGTACCTAGAGCAGAGTATAAATGAATTCTTGATTACCAAGAAACCCACAAGGGTAAGGAAAAACGCGAAGCGAGAAGAAAATAATGAATTAGTTATAATCTTATATTCTTTACTTTATCTTTGAAACAAGATTACAAGTGTTACAGAATAACAAATAACCCTCTCACCCTAATTAGGATTTGCATTATGCAATGATGAGAGACTAATATGTTATTTATAAGAAAACTAACATGCTAAACTAATGGGCTTTTACACACAGATTAATTACAAGCTAACTTAGGGAACAAGCTAACTTAAACAATTGGACATAACAAACAGGCCCAACTCGACATGCTAAAAAACCTAGCAAATATCTACTAATGCATGTTAGAACAACTTCGACTACAACATGCACTAATTCGACAACAACATGTGAACAAGCTTCAACCTCATTCTTAATTCTTGTGGGACCAGAAGCTACCCCTTCGACCATACTAGAGTTCGATCAAATATCTCACACACCCTTTATTCAAATTCTCACATCTCTTCCCTTCATAGTCACCTCCATCCTCACAAACTAAAAGATCGTCTTCACAACTATTTTTTTTTGTAGAAGGAACATTTTTCAATTGTTTTATCTTATTTTTTATGCTTCTCACACCCTCAATGAATTCTGAGAATCTAGATTATATGTGACCAAATTGTTCATAGTAATGCACTTGATATAACTAATATCTTATGGTTGAAAACTTCTACCATATTGATCACCATAGTTCTTTCCTTAGCCTCCTTTAGCTACTAGTATCTGATTTTCTTTGGGATATTTATCAATACTCATAATTTGTTTAATCTCTTTCAATGATTTCACTACATTATCTAACTGTAGTGCACTCTTCTCGGCTAACATTGATTCTTCTGATGATTTATAAGATTTGAATAGTGAAACCAACAAAAGTAGCGCTTGCACTTCATTTGTGATATCTTCCCTTGCATTCATGATTATAGTTACTAGTTTGTTAAATTTATTAATATGGTCAAATACATTACCTTCATTTTCCATATTCAATGAGTACAAATCCATTTTCATCATCAATCAATTGGTTAATATGGTTGATGCAAAATTGCTTTCTAAAAAATCCCCCAATTTCTTTAGAGAGATTTATTTTAATGCAGTCACTTTAATGTGTAAAGAAAATGCCAACCAAATTGTACTCATTGTCTTATTTGTATTGTATTTCAATTTGGTTCTTCCATCTCACTCTGTCTTTATTTTCCAAAGCACAATCAAGACTTCGTTGAACCAAATAATCTCGTATCGTGCATTGCCACAAATAAAAATTTATTCTCCCGTTATACAAAGAATATCCAACTTTAATGTAGTCATAATATTGTTTAGAAAAAAAAACTCAAATCAAATAAGATGATACAAACCTATAATTTTCTCCCTTTATCGGAACCTTTGCTCTGATGCTAGGAGTTGGGATTGTAATCAGGATGAATCTCCAAAAAAGTTGAGTACAAATAAAATAAAACAAACTCACAATCAAAAATTTATTACTAACTGGAAATTTTTTGACGGAAAAATAAAAAAATCTCTCAACCAAAAAATTTTATGGAAAAATTGTAAACTCTCTCTAGACACACAACTATCCAAATCTCTAATACACTCAAAATATTAGAGTTGTGGTGCTACATGAATTCATAGTAACTCTTGATATTTATAATAACTTTTCACTTTTTTTCTTCATATTACTCGGTGTGGGACTTGAATGAGTATCCACTTTAACATAACATTTTCAATTTT